GGGGCGCGCGGGGGGGAGCCACTGCCTGCAGCGGGGTACCCAGGGAGGGGAAGCACTGGGGAGGCAGCAGGACACACCAGGTCTCCTGAGCACCTCCCAGGGCCTGCATTTGGCTCAAACCCTGTTTGGAGGAGGGAGGGTGCTCAAGAGGCAGTGCTGTGTGGGACCAGCACATGGGGCCATGCCCCACAGCTGCTCTGGGAGGGGAACGCTGCCTGCCCACCCCTGCTGAGAGCTGAGGTCCTGCCAGACCTCTCTGCACAGGGCAGCCCCTGTGGCTCCCAGTGTCCTGAACATGGACCCACAGCACTGCTGGTGCCCCACAGCCTCTGCCAGGAGCAGCTGCCAGCCACAGGGGTGCCCATCACACGCCAGCGCTTCGACCAGATGCGCAGCATGTTCGACGAGTACGTCCGCTCCTCCACGCTGCAGAACTGGAAGTTCTGGATCGTATCCTTTGGGGCCAGCGCCTGCAGCTTGCTCAGAACCCTCCACCAGACACCAGGTCCTCTGCTCCACCCACTGCTCCTGGGTCTGTGTGGTCCCTCCAGCTCAAGAGGCTCCATGGGGAGGCGTTTCCCAGCCAAGGGCACATGGTGGGACATGCTGAGATGCTGTGGTTAGGAGGCAGGTTCTGTTACAAGGGAGCAAACCCTGTAGGAGTAAATGGTCAGTCCTCAGGAGGAGTCAGTGGCAGAGATGAGCTCATGCAGGGAAGAGCTCCTGGTAATGTGGGAACTGGCTCTGGGAGGCAGCAGCCATCAACTAGGGATGAGGAAAGGTCCAGACACAAAACTGGGGACATGGTGGCTTGGCCTTGGTGGCACACCCTGGAAACCAAGGCATGTCCATGCCTGGGACACAAGTCTGGGCTCCACGTGCTGGGAAGAATGGAGGAGACAAAGGGCCAGGGAATGGGTGGTCAAAGCAGTGCACAAAACCACCAGTCCCCAGTGGTGATCCCTGCAGGCTGGGGCCACCAGGAGAACACACTGGACACACTGGTCTCATGCCCTCCTCCTGGTCATTCCAGAGGACACTGTGCTAACAGTCTCCTTGAAGAGTTGTCTTGTGTCTAATCAACTGTTTCTGGCAGCTTCAGCTGTGATGGGGGTGATGCAGCTCTCCCACTGCCTCCCTGAATGATGCTCAGGTCCCCATCGCCCCAGCAGCATGGGCTGGTGCCAAGCATGGTGCTGTGCTGAGAAAGGGACACAGCAGGTCTGCCCCAGGTCTGGGCAGGGAGGTTTCTCCTGCTGCCTGTAGGAGGGTGCTGCCTGAACCTTACAGGTGGGATCTATGGTTTTGGCAAGGCTGGTCCTTAACTCTTCTGCTCCCCATCAGTTCAGTATCATCATCCGGCCCCTCTTTGAGTCTTTCAATGGCATGGTCTCCACGGCCAGCATGGAGAGCCTCACGCAGACGTCTCTAGCCTGGCTGGACCAGCACTGCTCTCTCCCCGCGCTTCGGCCAAGTAGGTGGCCCTGTGCCTGTCTGCAGCACGCTGAAGGAGCCGGGCTGGTCCAGGGCATGGACTGACGGGAAAGCAGAGGGGAAAAGGACAGGGGTGTCCCCGGGGGTAGTGGTGCTGGTGCTGCACCACGCTGGTGCCATACGGGAGGGAAGTGCCCGCGGGATGCTCTGGGGCTGCGTGCTCAGTGTTTTTCCATGTTCTTTTCACACCCGTGCTCCAGCTGAGTTGGCTGATGCTGCCTTAACCCAAGAGCCTGTGTCCTGGCAGGGCAGGGCTCAGCACGGGTTTCCCTTCACCCTTTCTGCTGTGGGCTGTGTCAGGGAGGTGTCAGGAAAAGCCATCTCCCCCAGGATGGGTTAACCCTTTCAGCCCCCAAGGCATGGTGGTCAGCTCACATGTCCCACATCCATCTTTCCGCAGCCGTCCTGAGCTCCCTGCGGCAG